CATTATCGACGAGGTCTTCTCATATTTGTGTGTGTGTTTGTGTGTGTGCGTGCGTGCGTGTGTGTGTGTGTGTGTGTATGCCCGCGCGAAAGTGTTTGGGAATGTGCAGCTGCCAGGGGAGGGGAGAGTTTGTGTGCTTGTGTGTATTGTTTTCAAAAGCTCCACTTATTTTATTCTTTAAGCCATCTTAATGAGTATGGGTAGGCTGCTGCTGCTGCTATTGAAGTAGCTGTTGATGATGATGATGACGACGATGATGATGATGACGACGACGACGATGATGAAGATGATGGATGATGGATGATGATGATAGATGATGGTGATGATGATGGATAATGATGATGGATGATGATGATAGATGATGATGATAGATGATGATGATGATGGATGATGATGACGATGAATGATGACGATGATGTCCTCGAAACCAAAACGTTTAAGATTATTATAATATTGTAACGTATCGAATATTTTATTGAAACGGACTATTTCACGGCTGTAATGACAATATTATTGCAGGAGAATCCACTAGAAGAGATTCGAAAACTGGCCAAGTTTTTGGGCAAAGACTACGACGATGAGTTTCTACAGAAAGTGATAAATGCTACCACGATGGAGGCCGTCCAAAAGCAGAAAGAAATACTGCACTCAGACAAGTCTGGGCCCATTATGTACAGGAAAGGTAAAAGATATTTACTAGTCTCGTGTTCTAGAGGTTACGGTGTTTGCCTCTCATTCAGTGGGTTTCGGGTTCGAAACCTAGCAGCGACGGAAAATTTTCTTCCTTAAAATGTTCTCCTTTCACCTCCTTTCCTGCCCTCTAACCATGTTCTATCGTCTGCTTTTGCCTCCACATTCTGTGTCCACCCCAACCCCCTTTACCCTCTCCTCTGGGCCCTTGGCTCTTTCTGTAGCCTTTCTACTGCTACCCCTCTGCTCCTTCTTATTGCTATCTTCCAGCCACACCCATGATCTTAGGGTAGGTAAGATGTAACGCCTAGCCTTCTCGGATAGAGGCAAAAACCCTTGGAAGTCCCGTGAGCTGGTTGCGCACGTTAAAGTTCTCTTGGTGGTCTAAAATCGATAAGAGTGAGCTTTGGCCGCCACCCGGACAAAATTCAAAGTTAAATCCTACCAAACCTAAAATGTTTAATGTGTCCCACGCACTCATATGATCTTATTCAGTTACGAAAACTGTAAAACACTTACCGAAAGAAAAACGAAAGCTGTTTGGTATCAATTATTACTGAAGTTTTGGTAATATGTTAGACCGGCATTTGTAGCTAGGTTCTTTGCCGTTACATAATATAATAATAATAA